ATTGGTTCTACATTTTTTAAGTCAATAAAAAAATATCTGGTGTTTCAGTATAGGTCTTCTCAAACCAAATAAAATTCAAAGGAATCTCAATCTTACCACTAGGGCAATACTTTTAGACCTATATACACGTAGTATCTGGTGTCCCAGCAGCACAATACTATTTTGTAAAACAAAATCCATGATCAAGAATCGATTACACCGTGTTTCAACTGCATGTTTCCAATTTCTAATGCTTGTGCAGTTGCTTGTAAAGCTTTATGCTTACTGCTGCTTACCCTGTTTTTTGGGTGCAAAAAAGGGAATCTCACCACACTTGAGCCCAATTTTAAGCACTAACTTACAAGCCCAGGGAGATAACTACACAACAAGGAAATACACAAACTAATTGAACATGATAGCTGCGATCAGCTGACTTCATCTTTTTATATCCTAAAAGCTTTCAAAGTGTAACTGACGCAAGCTTATGGCCTTCTGTTTATGGCCTAGCAGAAAGTTGTCTCCTACAGCAGGAGAAAAGGTCATCATTCCCCAACTCCCTCCCTTCTCAGAGGTCTCTCCAACTATCCCAGCAAACTGCAAACAAGGCATATGTTGAAGGAGAAAATAGTACCATCCAAGATGAATTTGAATTATCTGAGTCTGTTCAATATTTAGTGCTTTTTTTGTATGCAAATATATTATTCCAAGTTTACGAAATGCATTTCTACACTTAAATACCAGAAAGGCTAAATGTGGAAGCTTCCCCATATGAGTAGTAGCACCCTGCAGAAGGAAACTTCAATACGGCCAAAAATGGATGCTCAGTTCAAGAAAGTGTCCATTTAAAGCTCTGAAAACACTGAAAAGATGTTTAAATCGCTAACAGAATTACTCATTTTTACTTTTTTCCCCCCACCTGACCTCATTTAGCATAGTGGAAGGCTGCTTTTCCTGGTCTATTAAGACTTCAATAAAATCATTCATTTACAGTTAACTGCAACAGTATTCACATTTAGACCTGAATATTAATTGACTGATAATGAGATGATAAAGCTGCTTTTCTCTGCAGGTGTACCAATCAATTTCGATGAAACCAGAGCATTTTCCTGTACTGAATCTGAAATTAAAAAGTGATTTATATTTTCTAATAAAGTGGTTTTCATTGATCTCCTTCTGAAAAAGTATGGTTTCATTTGCACCTTTTTAAATTATAACAGTTTCCGTTTTCATATAAATGATTTTCCAATATTTTTGGCTCCAATTGATGATTAGCTTTGATATAGCTTTACAGAGTTAAAACCTTCCAAATAATTTAGAACTTTTAATAAACTTGAACATTTCCAGTCAGAATGAATCTGTTTTAAAAGACAGCATCAGGATCACTTTTAAGTACATATAAATGGAGAAGTCAAAGAAAAACTGTTTACTATTATTAGTAGTCAATGTCACTCCAAAACTAATATGTCAAAGACTTTTACCAGCCATCAGTAACGAACTCCAGCTTGCAGCAATTCAAAGTATCATTATCTACTGAAATCTTCTACCAGATGCTTGAACTAAAAGCAATTAGATTTCACTTCAAAATTATTGTCTTTCAAGAGATAATAATTAAGGAACAATGAAAAGAATGCTGGATTCTGAATAAGTGTCCAAACACCAGAGTCAGCAAAGGGACCAAGCAAATTGGGTGCAGATAGCTTGCTTCAGTGCCAAAGGACCACAAGAGGAAGAGGAATGAAAATGTGAGGTACAGGGTGGAATACTTATATCTATAAACACTGCTTTGCACTTGGAGAAACTGAGGACAGAAGCCTGGCCCCAACAGCTCTCAGCTCTGGAGGTCTGGCACCTTACTGAGCACAGATGCTCGCCAAGCTGCCACCTACAACATGTGCAAAATGCAGAAGCACTATACAATAAGAAGGATCAATGCTTAATATTTAAGCAACTGGAATATAAAGTGTTTGGGAGTGTAAAGAAACTGACCTGAAACAAGCAAAAGAATTATGTTTTCTTAAACAAGTGAGAAGCAGAAACCAGACTACCTTCAGCCCTCTCAGTGACTATAATCACCATGCAAGTAACTACTAACGCTGCAGGTGACCATGAACTCAGCCACCTCAAAGTTTTTCATAGCAGTAAAAACATTCTTTAAGGAATCACGTAGTAATACTTATGTTTCAGATACCAGAGGAGTCCTAGATAAACTATGGATTTGCAAGTGCCAGCCATCCAAAAAGCAATTACTCATCAGAATACATAGCTCATAACACACAACCAGCTTGAGTAAGAACATTGCAAGCAAGAAATGCTCAGTTCTAACATCTATTTTACCAGAAGATTTAAGCTCATCAGACTGGATCTGATGCCAACACTTCAGACAATCATCCCAGAGCAAGCCAAAGTGAAAAACACGCAAGCCAAGAGATTTCATGGGTCTCAAACACATACATGGAGCCTGACAGATAACAAGAGGTTCAACACAAGCTGCAGAAGGTTTGAATAAAATGGCCCAGGACTAGGAAGCAGACTAGGGCAGAACAAGCATGATCAGGAGCCAGGAGTTCAGAGCTACAGATACAGAAATGATTCCAGGACCTGGGAGCTAAAATTGTAAAGCAGTTTTAGTGAAGGCCAAAAGAACAGCTGAGATGTAGCACTCAGTCTTTCACAGGCTTCTCTTGAATGATCTGTTTGGAGTAATATTTGCCCATCACAACAGGGCCTAGGAATTTAACCAGATAAACAACAAGTATTCATAGTAATTACTTGAGACTTGTGGTAGATGCCTTAGAATAAATTCATCAGAAAAAAAGTAATTTTGGTTTGACAGAAGTTACAGAAGTCAGATGGATCAATGAATCAAGGAAAGCAGTAAGAAAATATTTATTATGACAACCTCTAAGTAAATTTTCGTATACTTTATAGATGACAAATTTATTTTAATTAGAGATCACTTCTTACTGCAGAACTGCTTGACAGATACAGGAAATGGCTTGCAGTCACAAAGTCTGCTTGCAAGGATTCATGGCTTTTGGAGTTTTCTAGAGCTGTATGCAAAAAATCATGAATAAAACATCAGTCATTTTGCTCTGGTATAAGTATTTCATTTGAAGAACTTAGCTTCTTAATGCTATCATCTAGCCATACCATACCACCATGCATTGAAAAGTAATTAATTTTCTTACTCCACTGTAAAAGTGAAATGAATTAAAATTGATTTTCAATCTGAATTTTCAATGGTAGCCCTGAAGTTGTTTCTCTCCGGTTTGTTAAGGATCATCATCTAATGGAGTAACTTGTGATGATTTTTAACCACAATTTAGAAATACGTCTTACATTCGAAGAGGAGTACGCAGCCGTTCAATTTATTCACACCAAAAAAAATGTGCATCTTCAGCATTATACTGAACTCTTCCCAGAGTGCTCCCATCACATTTCTCTAAAGCAAAGCACAAGTATGTTTTTCAGCCATTACAGGAAAAAAAAGTACTAATAATTACTGTAAATTTCAAAGTATCCAGAGTCCAGAGGCAACACGTATTACCTGAAAGGTCTCCAAATAGGATCCTCCAACAGGTCACTGCCCTTACCTTGTCCTGCTGAGCTTCTTTATTTTTAGTAGGTAGTTTGTACCCTTTAGGAGCCATGTTTAACACTAAAGCTGTTCTAAAATGTTACGCAAGAGCTCAACACAGTCAAGACTCAAAGGAAGTCTGCTTATAAATACAGCTTCCATAGCTTAGTGTTACAGATAGCCCAGGAGTGGCCTACAAGCACTGGTTACAACGCAGCAATGACAACAGCAAGTGTTTCAGAACTTAAGCACTAGGTAGAAGAATACTTGAGGCATTCAATTTATAACATCTGAAAAAAATATATGCATTAAAGCCCTGATAGTTAGCAATATATAGCTTTTCCAATTCGGAAACTTCTACATGTAATACTGGTTTCTTGCATTTTCCCTACTAGTCGTCAGGAAAAGCTTGTGTACCGCATTCCTCTACACAGCGGTGGCCTTAATTCCTTTTACAACATCGCCCTCTAGCGTTTATTACCCTCAGGTATCTTCTGGAAGCAGCTCATTTCCCTTGCTTCAGTGATTTAATACTTTTGAAGAAAGTTTAATACGTCTTAGCAAGTATTTTTGTAGGCAAAAAGTGTTCAACAGCTGGGAGAGGAGATGAAGGATATGCAGATAAGGTCTCACTTAATTTAACCCAAACTTCTTGGCATTTCAGTTCACTGTAAGAAGTATAATTTGCATATAGGAAGGACTGTTAATCCTGAAGAACCAGAGCACTCATCTCATCACAAATTTCAGTTGAGACTACTGATTTAATTCTCACTCCATGTTGTCACAAAAGTGGAGAATGAGATACATAGCACATTCATAGGCTTATTTGGGCAATAAACTTGAAAGGTAGCATTTCAGTCAATCTTACTAACCTTATGATAGAATCATAGATGATGTGGGTTAGAAGGTACCTTAGAACCACCTAATTGCAAACCTCTGCCACCTCCCACCTGCCCAGGCTGCCCACAGCCCCATCCGGCCTGGCCTTGGGCACTTCAGGGATGGGGCATCCACAGCTTCTCTGGGCAGCCTGGGCCAAGGCCTCACCACCCTCACAGTGAGTAATTTCTTCCTAATACCTAATCTAAATTTACCCTTTTTTAGTTAAGACCATTCCCCCTGTCCTGTCACTACACCCCCTGACAAAAACGCCTCCCCAGCTTCCCGGTAGCCCACTTTTGGTACTGAAGGCCTCTGTGAGGCCTCCCTGGAATCTTCTCTTCTGCAGGCTCAACAACCCAATCTTAAACTGATTTTACTACAGAATGCAAAGATTTTATATTAAAAAGGGGTTGTTTATATAATTTTATACATACAAATATGTGGGCACACACTTAAGGATTCAGGATACAGGTAAGTATTTGAGAAATGTAAGTGGTTGTCCACCACTACTAGATGGCAAATGAGAAAAAACAAGCACTGAGGCAGTATTTTTTTTATTTTATTTTTTTTATTTCCAAAAAGCAGGTACTACTGGGACACAGCAACATCTAAGTGAGGAGTATCTGTAATTACATATGCAAGATGAAGGCCATCTGTTACAAAACATTACAAACCTCCTTCCCATTACTCTCCTCCCCCTGCTAGATGGCATGGTGGATTTACATAATGCCCAGTAAGAATCTAATTGCAGAGACAGTGATACCATGAGTTAAAGGCATGTTAATATTTTACAACCAGCTAAGTAAAAAGACAAAACAACCATTTCTATGTGATTTCAGCTCTAAAAAGCAATGGAGTGACAATTCAAAGAACTGCAGCAACCAAGCTGGCTTTAGTTTAAGTCATTACCTATATGTCCACACAGATATAATTAATCCTGTTCCATGACACCCAAAGCTAAATTAAATATCCTGCCTACTTACGATGTAGCATGTTATTTTTTTTTTAGTCTTATCCATAAATACAATTGCAAGCTTTCCCTAAGCATGTTCCTTTTTTTGTTTTTTAACATCAGAATTCCATATGCTCCAACGATGATTTGTGGTATTTTTGATCTGGATCAGCAAAAAGCTTTCATAATATATTTTTATTCATAATAGACAACAGTGGAAAGTAACAACAGCACAGAAAATAGGATAAGAATGGTTACAGGTGAGAGACCGAACTCATAAGTGAAGACACTCCATTTCAGGAGTGAGGGAGGTATGATTATAGATCCTTGGGAGATGGATCAACTTCCTTGCACAAGATGGGAAGTTGGATGATCACTGAAGGTTGCATAGAAGAAAGTTATTTTGCATTTTTCAATCCCCAGATCAGCTCTGGTTTCCAAAATTGTGGCAAATATTTTATTTCTGGGATCACTGGCAAGACTCCATAGACTTTCTATTAACTGTTCTGTCCCATTTGCCACTCTGTAGCTTTCATAATCAATTATCCACATGCCAAAATTCAAAGAACATGCTCTCAGCATCGTTATAAAAAATGGTGTTATTTTGAGGGCAGCAGGACCCAAAAGACCACACAGCCCCAGCACCTGCTCATAAGGCAGTTTTCAGTCATCTCCGCAACTGTTTGCTTATCAAAGACTTGCTCAATAGATATTTACTAACACTTGCCCAAGTAATTTTCCTCCTCCTTTGAATGTAAAGCAATAAACCAACCGTTTTTCCCTCCCAGAGACAGAGAAGCGATGGGAAAAACAGAAAGCTCAACATAAGGGCATATAGCAACTCTCAGAGATAAGATTACATAATAGGGTAGATAGGAAGAGTGCAGGAAGAGTGAAAACAAAACCAACAAAACCCTTGATGTTTGGAGGTCAAGTACTCTCACACCAGACTCCAAGATCACGTGCCTACCACACAGCTTTCCTTTCCTTCAGTGTTTGTGGTGCATCATAGCACAACTGCACAACCTTCTGAGCTAGTACACACATAGCTAGCAGGACAGCTAGCTAGCCCTGCCCAGGGCTCCATGCTGCTGCTTGTGGTCCAGTTCTCAATATCATTTCAGATATGAACAAATGGGTCTGAATCTCCCTGACAGTATCACTACAGTTCATCTATTACAACAGCCTAGACCCAAAATCCCAAGCTCTGCAGAGCAGTTCCTCTGACATGTGCAGACTAGCTATGCTAGATGAGTAAATCATGAAGAACATGGTAGGACAACATTTTATAAGCCTTTTTGTGAGGAAAGGGAGACACTTGAAAATTACCTAAGTCTGAGTTGAAGGAAGCCAAAAAGCAGTTATAGGATAATCTCCTAGGGAAAAGAGGAAACTAGGTATTGTATCCAATGTTAAAGAGAAACTACAGGATGTTGAGTACCACTAGCTTGGTAACTTATGCCATCCTCTGTTTAATTTCCAGGATGTAAGAATCAGAAATATAATATGCTTAGAACATTATAAATAATTTCCGTACTAGTAGCTTGTAGTGTGTACATAGTAAGTTCTGAGACTTGAAGTCTGTATCAAGAAACGCTAAATCATTATCTGGCCAATGCCTTAAGCTAAGTACTTGAGGATCAAGTGCCATTTTAAAAATTCATGTTAGAAATGCCAGCTGTGAAGTGCAGGAACTGAACTGGTAGTCCCAACAGAAAGAAGTACAATTGTTCTGGAAGCACAACCTTGCCCTCCCATCAGGGAGTAAAGCTGTAAATATACCACTTTAGGGAACACTGCACTGGGTCACTGGGAGAGCAAAGGACATGAAGTTCTCCACATGACCATTCAAATAAAGATACCTACCTCAGGTCCCAAGCTACCACTAAGAATATAGGATCCAGTGCGTGAGAGAAGAATGCATACACACCAGATATGCAAGCAACTGCCACAGGCTGCTGTTTACATTGGCCACCTGCCACTCCCAGCCACACTGCATGCACCTTTGAAATGCCGTGGGTGCCACCAGGCACTCGGATGAAGAACCACCTGCAAAGTATTTTCGGAACTTCTCAAACTAATCATCCCATAGTACTCTAAGGTAAGACACTAGCCCCTCTGCAAGTGTAGCAGTTAGACATCCTTACAGTGACGGTAACTCCTGTTGTAAACTTCTGGATTTGACCCCCAGGAGCTTCAGGTTGCTAGGTGTACCCACGTACCAACACAGGTCTGGTAGCCTACACACTGGCAGTGAAATTATACACAGGTTGCTCTAGCTAAATTCTCAGTTTACACAGTGAAAGCAGCTATATTTCATACTCTCAAATTAGCGTCGCCAGCATTTAAACAAGATATGCTAATGTAGACATACAAAAACACCAACTAACATGCATTTGGCTAAAGAAAAGCTCTAACAATCTGCTGAATTATGGCTTAATTCTGCCAAGTGTCAAGTTCCCATTTGGAAGCGCCAACCCCCTTTAACTTGTCTTCACTGGCTTTTGAGGCTATAATGCACACACAGCAAGTAGTAACAGATCTGATCTTTCCTGCTTCCCACCACCACCTCCATGCCAACTGAGGTATGCCCAACAGACGTACTGAATAAATTATATTTACTGAACTCAGACTACTCATTGAATATACATCTCCATGTTAGATACCCACCACAGCAAGAAACAGACCCTTCAGAGAGGAGTCACCTTCTGTTATTCCTTCTCTACCCAACAGTTAGTGTTACCCCTTAAGAGACAGCAGGTTTTCATTTGTGTAAGACACAGGATTTAAAAGAAGCTAAGTTTTTAAGCAAAGAACACTGACAAAGCACATCTGAAAAAGCAGAAACAGCAAACAATTTTTTTAGCTCAGAAGTACATGAATTTAGTTACCAGAAGTGTCTTAAACACCCAGCTTTACCCTCTAGTCAGTTTGAAGTGCTACACTGCCAACCCTCAGAAACTTAGGCAGATGACCAAATATATCATATATATGCCCCTTTGAGAGTTGAAGCTAGGTCCTCTTCTTTTCTAGAGTTTGTCCACAATTCAGAAACAGCTAGAAGTTTATTTTCCTCTCACCTTACTTGTTTTCAATCAACTCATTTGCTCTCAAGCTAGAATAGTTCAAGTAATTAAAATAGGTAAGTAGAATGAGGTAAAACTATCAGACACCAAATTCAGATGAATAGGCTACTGAAATAACTTTAAAATCTGCCTTATTTATGAAAAAAAGTTCCAGAATATCATGTTCTTGAGTTGTTACATATGGCAATCAAGAACATTTCAGTGCTATTACAGAGCAGGCATTCAGCCTTTCTTGTAAAGTGAGTGCGATACTTCATTAAAGATGCACACCATCCACCGTGTAGTGGACACACAATAAAGATTTCGTCTTCTCAGAATGGACATATATAAACACTATTCACAAGTGCTTAAATCATGAGAAAACTAGGAAATGCCAGACTGTCTTTTAATTAACAGTCCAAAGTTAAGTATAGGTCAGACCACAAAGAAATGTACACCAAGGTGTGTGCATGTCTAAGCATGTGCACATCCCTCACTGCACGTGTTCAGAACTGAAAGAACCAAATATGTTACAACATTAATTTACTTGGTTTACATCTTCAAGCACAGGAATTGTTGCACATCTTTTCATCAACAGGACTGAAGACTGATTATAATCAGGATTTTTAAACTGCTCAAAATTCCAGCACATCAGATCATAATGAACTGTAGTAAACATGAAGGTATATCAATGGATCAACATGCACAGTTTGGAGAATAGACAAAACTTCACATGTAGTTGAATTTGTATATACTGAAGTACATTTGTGTTTATCACATAACACTTTCAGATTATTCAACATATATTATTGCTATTTATACTTGTCATTACAATACAAACTTAGTCAGAGTCAAAATTAACAAATACATACACATACATTAAAAAAAAAAGTCAGTTAATGCCTTAGATTTAGGTCTCCATTGATTTCCACGAGATTACTTCAGACTTCAGAGCAAGTTTCCAGGAAGCAATGTTGATAGCTTGCTTCTTCTGCAACACACAAACTTCTGGGTATTCACACAGGGAATCCATCAAATTCAATGGCATATCGCACCATCGGCTGTAAATACAGACTTCCTTCAAATCCTGTATGAAACTCGACTTGATCTGCACAGTCTGTCAGTAATACAAAGATCAATCCCTTCAAGCACAGAACACCAATAATTAAGTTGCTTACTTCATAGCTGCAGTTTGTATTTGAAGTACATCAATATCCTATTTCAACTTGTTCTGTCACAAGCACTGTCCTTCAAAGCCAAATTCTGGGCAGCATCAGCAGTTGTTTCCGTGCAAGGGTCATCTTTTTCTTCTTCCTCAGGCTGTTCTCCAGGTTTTTGTTCAGATTCCACAACTGCTGTGCTCTTACTGGTATTGCAGCCCATTTTGGTCTCAGTCAATGAAGGTTCTGTGATTTTTGGTAGAAGTCTATAGAAGGCTCACTGCATTGAAGGAATGAAGTACAAGGAAATGAACTCCTAGCTAAATAGCATTCCCTATTGTATTGTTAAGAGCAAGTATGTTTGGTTTCTGTGACAACACACTGATCCTGCTAATCAAGCACTGGCCAATAAAGAGCTACAGTTTAATGCAGCCAGCAAAAGACAATTTTTGCTGCCTTTCTAAAAAGCCTATGAAACTGTTCTTCACTCATATTTTTCCTAGATGAGTAACTCATGATTGCTTTGCCCAAGGAAGCCTATTTAATTTTAACTTCTAAACACCCTATAGTTTAGTTACTAGGAAACAGTGCCTTGCTACACGCACAAAAAAAAAAAAAAATAGTCACAGCAGCAAGTCTATATATTTTTCTAAGCATTTTCAGTATTGTAATCTATACTACTAGGTTATGTAGACACCTGACTTAAGACACTAGTCTTGAATAGAAAGCTATGAAGTTATACAAATCCATGTGCCCAAAAACACTTAAAATATCAGCTTGAATATTAAGTCTAGTACAAAACAAAAAAAAAGCACCCCAAAAATCTCACTGAAGTAGCTGGAAGTTTTCAGCTGAAAAGCAGGAGTGAATGAATACACTCAGAACTCAAGCATGCCAAAAACAGCAGGTCTCTACCAGAAGCTAAACCAATAAGCCAACTTGCATTCTAACCCAACATTCAAACAATTTTCTAATAGAAACTTACATACAATGAGCTCACAATGACTGGCTGACTCCTATCATCTATCCTCTACAAACTAAAGCCAGTAGTACCTCCACGCGCAGGGCAACTTCATTGGTGTGTTTCCCCCTATGAAAAGAGTTATTAAAAAAAAAAAAATGCAGAGATATGTTTAGCTAAAAAATCATATTGATATTTCACACAACTATATAGTAGGTAAGTGCTCAACAGTACTAGACCTTATAGCCACAAATTGAACCCCACACTAATTGACTTGATCTTTCATAATCAGCTATTCTTAATATAACAAGCATTGGGACCACGGTTGCAGGGTTGCCGGTACACAACGAAATAGGCCCTTATTTTCTAGACCTAGAAAAAAAAACAGCAGTAAACTTCATTACTGGGTGTTGATCTGCATATGCTTGCAAACAGTAATAGAGATACATTAAGGTGAGCTGTCTTAATGTGAAGGATGTCCATATGGGGAACAGGGTACAGGTGCCTCAAACATGCTCAGCAGAAATAAAGGGAAAGTTGCTCACTGTTCCTTTGAGGCAGAGGCTAAATATATTGCATGATATTTAAGATTCCCCCCAAATTCAGGAGAATCAGACTTGTGCATCTGAAGCAAGTCCAAGCACCACCACACAGTTTAACTGCACAACTCAGTGCTTCTCAGATGACTACTGCTGCCCAGCTACCACCAGGGACGTTGCTCTCTGCTTCGAGGCTTTTGTGTTATGTTCCCTTTTACTAATGGCTGTTAGGCAAGAGGGTGTTTTGTTTACATCATTTACTACCTCCCATTTTATTCAGCTAACATTAGGAACACCCACTTATCTTTACAAGCATTGATAAGCCAAGTTACAGAGCAGGAAAAAGTCATTTAAAAGAATATTACATAAACTTGTGTGCTCCTCAGGTATATCTGATTTGCTAGTTGAATTTCTACTGTTACTCTTGGCATTTAATTGCATGTGCAGCATAGACACCAGAGCAACCATAACCTAGTCACTACACTGTAGAATTTGTACCTGCCAGATTGATTTAAGCCAGAATGTCTGATAAAATGAGAGGAATATGGAGCTGTTCAGAATCTGAAGGCACGAGTGTATTTTCTGGGTTTTGTAGGAAAACAGGAATATGACTCTACACTTCTGTATATCTGCATTTGAGTGCTTAATCCACATTAGTATACTTCCTCCTTTGAATGTGATTACTCCTGTGAAAGCAGAATAGTTATAAGGATGTAAAAGAATCGGGCAAAAACTGATTCCCAGAACTCCTTAAGTCTGCCTATGTAGGAATTAATGATTCTGGAGCATTTACTGCTCCACATTTTCAGAACACTACCTCAAATTCCCCACTAGATGGTAGCTGAATACTATGCTGATTCTGCAGTATTACACAGCCTAGAGTAGCCCTAGGAGTTGCACCTGATTACAATTTTTAAAGGATTACTCCCAATATCTTTTAAGAAAAATAAAACCTTCCCAGAGGTGGCACTGTCTTAAATATTGACTGATTTACGTTTCACAGAAGTTTTGAACCAGGAAGTGAAATCCATTAATGTCGTGCCTTTGGCACCAGTGAGTCTCTTTATGTGAGCATGGGCTTCATCAAAATTGTAGATCTTGCTAAAAATGTACTTTGTATGTTCTTGTCACAGATGGCTTCATCATACATTTTTCAGAAAATACGGGAAGGGGTACTACAGGAAGTAGGATAAAATCAGTTTAGGTGGGAGGGAAAAAACTGTCCAAATGCTCTCAGGCATGAATACTCATCACAACATGCAAGCAAACTGTAGATGCTCTCGGTTCTCAAATCATTTGTTTCCAAGGTTAGCAGCCAGAAGCCATGGACCCTAAAAGCTTTGTTAGCATGAGAACCTTAATTTTTGTACTTGAGACGTGAAGTCTAAGTCTGTTGTACTGAATGTAACAAGTTTAGGCCCAGACCTAGATACCATTCTGGTTACAAGAGAGAACAGAGAGCTTGGCACTGCAGCCTTTCTGAACTGAATGCACCCACCCCCTGCGCCCTGTTACAACCAGTAGTCTAGGTGCAGCAAGAACCCTTCTTATAGGGGCTGTACACAAAGGGGTAGTACCAGCCTGCAGGTTGTGGCTTCATTGCCTGTAAGGAAGCTACGGTGCTTACAGACAACAAGCCAACACCATTTCAACTTCCTTGAACGGCTATACGTGCACCTTTCACTATCACTGTTAAAAATAGTCTTTATTATTTTTTGGCAACATCTATGTCCTTTTCTCTTTCTTTTTCTTTCTCAACAGAAAGCAGGTTTGGATAAGAGGCACAAAGATAATTACACTGTCCTGCTACGTTAGTCTACTTCGGTCTCATTGCAAATCACTTGGTTCAGTCTGTTCTGTTTGTGATAGTGAACAAATGCCTGTTTGCCAGCTTTTGCCATCAGAAATCTTTAGAATATCTTGATTTAACATATTTACTTCCTTCTACTGGTAAAAGATAACATTTTCTGGAAAGCTCTTCATTACAACCCCAAAATTAATATTGTAAAATTCCACAAGTTTCTTCAGAACAAGCAATCAATCATTCAGCTGAAGTACTCGTGTCCTGCTTGTAGCAGCAGGCTCAAGTTCAGTGCAATTCAGATAGCAAACGTCACATATTAGAACTTGACAATAAATGCAGAAGAAGGTTATCTACAAGTGTTTGAAGAAGGCTTGAGGTGTATTAATTACACTTCTAACCCATTCCTCAAGTTTCTGGCCCCTCTTCAAACTGGCCGCGCATTGTTTTCACATCTGAGCAGCAGTCAACATACCGATGTGCTACAAACTTCAACAACTACACCACTGCAGCAAATTCTTGTTCCCATAGCAACACTACTAGCTTTCCATCCCATGTTTCCTTTAAAAAAACTTGAAATGCGTAATAACCAGGCAAATAGGAAAGTCTACTGCACAGTAAGTTCAGAATATTGCTTCTCCCCATCTTTATTGGATTAATAAGCTAAAACAAAGTCTTTTTCCTTTGTCTGTCTAGTAACAAAATATTATTTACGAACTACTTTACAGAAATACCCTAAAAGCAACAAAGCAAGCTGCACATTGCAATATACTGAGCATGCTGTGCTGCCTTAAATGAGTATATTCGTACTCTTTTCTTCCCATAGAAATAAAGGAGATCACCTCATTAAACTCATGAGTAATCCACCTTCTCCAAGGTGGAAAGACTGCCTAGGTAAACCTCATTTACAAGGACATCTCAGTGCTTCTTTTAAGATGTGAGTTTATCAACAGAAGACAGCCTCCACATGCAGGTACATAATCAAGTTATTTTAGTTTTGGGGTTACCATAAGGTATGACTTCCCCACTGCTGTTCTCTGTGCTTCCTTTGCAAATAAGAAGTGTTAAAATTTCCAGTGGCACAGCACATGCTGTCACCCCTCCATTTCTTTACCAGAGATTTCTGAAATTGAATGGCTCAGCTGGAACGGTGACACTCCAGCCTTATATTAATTATGGCTCCTTAAGAGGATAGCATAAGGAACAGATATTAAGTAGTTGGACAAGAAATGACTCCCTGGATCCCCAGTCCTCCTTGCCTCTGAGTCCTAGCTGCTGTTCTGTTGCTGTCACACACGCCCATGTTGCTGTACACCAAGAAGGAGGAACCACGACAATCTGTTCTCTTGAAAAAACACAAGCTGTGTTTGGCTGGCTAAGAAAAAAAAGTCTGTCAAGCTAGTAAATATGTTACAGTACTTGACAATTTTACCAAACTAAGTTTAAGAAATGAGCTTTTGGAATTTGAGTGAGCTATGTCACTCTCTGAGCCTTGTATTGTATGCTTCATGAACATCATAAAGGGAGGTATCATTGTAGAGGTAGATGCCAAATTCCTGCTATCTGCTAGGTGAGGGAGAGAAGCAGCACGTCTGCAATGAGACATGACAGAGGTAAGGACCGGAGAGTGTAAGCTTTTTCCTCTTTCTCCAGAAGACTTACGTCTACATAAAAAAGGACTGCCAATTTCCTACACTAAATGGGTATCTGTCATAAGCCTGTTTCCTGTTGCACTGACAGTCTTGTTTCCTAGTCTGAAATTGCCAACTCAAAATTATGTCCATTAACGATTTCACAAGTAACCAGCCAGATCACACAGCTTCCTTACACATTGACTAGTAGGAGAACTCTTCAGGATCTTTAAATATCAGGGACTGCATTGCACCTTAAGTGCAATTTCACAAGAAAAGAAACCAGTCTCCTCTTGGCAGCTAATGAATCCTAGATAATTCACACAGTTTTTGAGCAATCCTGAAGCCTAGATTCATGTGCCCTAATTCCAAAATCTGCATTAGAGCAGAGAATTAACGGGCTGTTACACAGCTCAGCATTGCAGAAGTGAGAAGCTGGATATTCAAGTACTACCTCAATACCTATAATACTATGTCAAATACAAATCGTGTCAAATCAGTACCTGCAAACAGATGCAAGAACAAACACTTTAGAAGTGAATAACTGTATTTATTAGAGGTGTTAACAAGGCACACACTTAGAAATAAAGATCCCTTTTAATTTAGACTGTTCTAATAGTTAACTAAATAGCATAACTTGCTGTAACAATGAAGCAGAAAGCAAACATTTTAGATTGACAAACTGAAATCATGGTCTTTGTTCCAAATTACCAAGGTAAAAAAAAATGCAGCATGGAGGCAGGTCTTATACTGGGGACAGAAAGCATAATCAAAAAGAAAGAGAAAAAATACAGAGTTCAGGCTGGGAGATTCAAACTAAAGCACAGGCTGATAATGATGAGCAAGTGCTGCTTTTCCTGTAGCTCATGAAAGAGCTGGGAAGTTTCTAAGGGGCTAGGGGGGTGCTGGGGTGCAAACACATGAACCCAATTATTTCAAGATCACAGCAGGATCTTAGAGCACAGCTTCATAACCTGGGAATTCCCATTCTGCACTCCTCTCAATGCACGCAACTCTCAAGTGCCTTCCCAGTTTCCCTTCACATGTAAGTATTGCTTTAGCTACCTCAGAAATAAAGAGTTATTGCCCAGGCATCCACTGCTACAGTAGCAGCATTTGGGGGGTCTAGAGGGTTAGCAATCTGCACAACTAAGTGTA